AGCCAGGGCCGGATCTGGGGGGGGTGCGGAAAAACATTGGCACCCGGGCGCCAAATTTCTGAATACGTCTCTGGGGTGGTGGGTGGTGATAGTAACTAATTAGTAATTTTTATACTTCSCCTCACTTAATGAAATACATGTCGGCACCATGCGTATATACAAATATACAATGTTTTAACAATATTATACGTAGAGAATACTTTAGTATACTTGGAATTATTTAACACATCACATTACCATTATATATACCTACTCCTAACTTCATATTTTGATTTTGTTGTGAATTTAAAAAAAAAAATAAAGTATACAATACAGAAAATACGGCGGGTAAAAACGACAAAATTATCATTTTAAATAGATACACAAAAACAACAGTAGATTTAATTTTAGATTTTACCATATTATTAAATATTATTAAATATTTTTTCAGTCTTGCAAATCGGTTTTACTGTCAATAATAGCAGATGTCAGGATTATTATTTTCATAAAATTGTAAAAAAAAAAAACTGATAATAGTTGTGATTTTTTATTGATTATCATTATTAATTAAACCTATTTATATTTTTGATATTCTTCTTTGATAACTTGATAATTGACTTAAAAAACAATTTGTGAATTTTAAGTAAGATACATTATATGTTTTTTACCAGGTTTATATTTGTATTGTAATCTAATAATATATAAATAATATTTAGATTTAGCAATTTCGGGAGACCCCTGGACCCTCCAGTTACGGCCTCGATATTAATTAGTAAGTATAACATTATTCTACTATTCTAAAATATACAGTTCAATATGATAATATATACAATTAGTATTATAAATTTAAATATAATATTGTACGTTTGACATAATATTAGGAAATTATATTACATTGCATTTTTAAGTAATTATACTTTATAGGTATTATTAAATTTAGAACCAATTAGGTACAGTAATAAGTATTATTGTGRTCAGTATTATAGTTATTAATTTTACGCTATAAAATATCAATGTTTTTTTTTTTTATACAAGTGTGATTATATATTAGTTATTTGTTAGCTTGTCTATATAGGTAATATAATACCTTCGCGAAATATAGCAACTATACTTGTTTAATTCTACAATGATATCAATAAGAACGGYGTATCATAAATCGAAACCCATTGTTATTTATTTTACATAAAAATAATATGTCGCTCTTCACTTGGTGTTTGCCTACAGACAGTACTATCCGGACTGGCAAAACGCTTTTCCGYTGCGCTGCACGTGYTCAATACCTAAGGAGACATAATTATGAGGGCACTCATAATAATTTATAAGCTTATCATCACGTGCGTTATTTTCGCAGACGTCGGTACAATGCCCGTGAATCGTCTAAATAAACTGACGAATTTCACACCCACCAGCCTTGTGGATCACAATCCGACCGCGGTCACCCATCCGCCCAATTCGGATATCTTGGATAAGATCGACGTGAAGAAATTGTTGGACGTGTTGCAGATTCTCAACGAGGAAAAATCTGCACAAGTGTCAGTGAGTGACTAGAATTATTGGTAGGACGGAGACGGAGTTATATTGTAATAATGTTTAGGTATAATAGGTACATACCTACCTAGAATAACATAACATATTTTGTAAACTTTCGTTTAGATGAGTGAGCGAAACGTTATAAGTTCCGTGATGAATGTATTGATTTACAATTATGTACCTATCTCCGTTTCAATTATTTTTTGTTTTTACTCATACAATAATTCTTATTTTCACCACAACTAAGATAATATATCGAAAATATTTCAATATTTCTAATAAGTGCTTGATATTTTACGTAATTCATCAAAATCACGAAGATATGTAAATTGTTTTGTAGTTAAAAAAAACCCTTAAAATGTTTAATTTTAATACTCTACTTTCAAAAATTACTGCAAGATTCTTCATAAGATTTTCACTAGAACATATAAGTTTAGCGTAATAAGCTACATACATTTTTTTATGAGCAATGAAATTCAAATGCTATAATAGTATAATGACATTTGGATACGTATTGGTAATAAACTAATAACGATTTATTCTCAAACTATTATCGTTATTTTGTTATGGTAAAAAAATATTAATATTAAAGACTTGAAATATTCCAATATTCTTTAAATATACATTTTCAGTTGACAGTGAAATTTAAAAAAGTGCTTAGTCTAATTTGAAGCTATTTATTATAGTCTTTAGACAATTTGAATTTGTTTCAATAGGTACTGAATCAAAAAACTTGAAAATCTGATACAAAGTTATTCATATAATTGATACTGTTTTTGCTTATTTAAAAATATCGAAAATACATATTATTCACAATATTTTCATAAGCGTATAAAGTATTTTGCTATACACAATTCGTCATAATCACGAACATGTTTAAACTATTTTGTATACCTATAATACAAGATCTATGAAATTTTGAAGTTTAATAGCTAAAACTTATACGCTTAACACATAGTTCTTCATATATTAKTCTTACGGCCACCCTAAATTTTTATATACATTTGAAGAAGTTTWAGCTTTTACATAATTAAATAATTAAACATAACTATTTTAATTATTCTGTTGTAATTAAAAATATTAATCATAGTACGCAGAGACTTGAACATTTTGCCGTTAATACGTTATAATTATTTCCTAATCTCAAGAACACTTTAAAATATTTTGACTTATTTTAAGTTGTTTATATCACGAACCTAGTTTCTACCGAAACTTGTTTTCAAAAATATATTTTTGACTATAAAAAAATATGAAATATAAATATATATATATATGCTTATTATTTACTATTGATATAATTAAGATGWGTAATTTTTGACGCAATATACTCATCGGTGAAAAATACTGAGACAAAAATGTATCACAATTCAAAAGTTGCACCAACATAATAATCATTGTTAAAGGCTGTCAACTGAATTTTTTAAGTCTGATATAGATGGTGAAATTCGTCCAGATCGTGAATTTTGACRAAAATACATTATATGGACATTCGCTTTATGAAATGGACATTACCCATGTTCTATGCTTTGTGTTTTTTATTATTATAAAACTAATTTTCAATTTTTTAAGTTATCAGTAAAAGTATGCTATTAATAGCGGATGACATGTACAAATAAATAGTAAGGAAGAAAAATGTATAGATATAGTTCATTAACTATTGTTTAAGTCAATCAATTAATTATTTCGTTAATAAAACAGTATAATAAATCTAGATAGATAGTAAGTATATTTCATAATACTTCATCAGTAATGTTGTCGATTATAAAATATAATAAAGGTTTATTAAAAGTAAAAATATAATTATTTAATATGATAGAATTTATTGACAACAATAATTGTTATATTTTTATTCATAGGTCAATAATCAATATAGAACAGAATAATTATAACTCGTAATACTATGACATAATAGAATTATTTATTAGTTTATTACTAAATATTATAACAATCTTATTTTATTATAATTACTCAAAGACCAAAGTACATAGTACCTATAAGTATTGTCCATTTCATGAAATGGATGTCCATAAAAATAATTTTCGTCAAAATTCATGATTTGACGAATTTCACTATCTAGATATCCAGTTCATGAAAAGATTGATTTCAAAATGTGGTTGTGACATATATTAGTAGTTAGTTGTAACCCATCAGACATAAAATTCGGTTGACCTGCGCGCGACGCCGTATAAAAATTGCATAGGCAGCTCAAGCAGCAAGCATCCAAGCTAGGCTGTAGATACGCCTATTGCTCATAATATTAGCTATTTTATAATTATAATTATAATTTTTTTACATAATATTATAATATCTTAACTGTTGAGATATAAACTATAATATTTATGAAGTAGAAGCTCTTAATAATAATAATAATGAGTGGATAATATAATATATTATGAGATTTGTTTTTGGCAAAATTAGTTCGATTTACTGTATTACTAAAAGAAAAAAATATTAATAGCAAAATAAATACATAATTAAATGTCTTTAAAATATAGCCATATAGGCTGACTTCAAAACGTTTTAGTAAGTATGTAATAATATATCATTAAATTCATATCCATCTACGCGTCATATATATTTCAGTGACCCACTAATAAGTGATGACTGATGAGGTATACACTCTACGCACCTATTATTTAATAAATACAACAAAGTGATATCCCAATTTTTTTTAATTTTTAAATTAATTCGAAACAACATTTTCCTTTAATATTTATAAATAATAATAAATAATTTTACGGTACAAGTTCTTTTCTGGAAAAACTTGAATCAACTAATATTTTTACTCGATGCCTATTATTATTATTCTAGCTAATATACCGCCTGTATAGGTAAGTCGTAAGTGCGATAAAGTCTATAGACCTATTATATAGTGTCTACTGATACTCCAAAAATCGTTCAGCGAAAACACTTAAAACGGTTATTTTGTATGAATATTATTAAGACATTCAATACACCTATTATAAATACCACCCAACATAACTCTTAATTATAAGGTAAAATCTTCTGTCAATCAATTTTACAAATTATTGAACTTTTGTAACCTACACATGAACTGTATTATTTTATTATTTAGGAAGCAACGAGTTTACCTTCATCAACTGTAGTGAAYGTGGTCCGCGATTTCGACTATTCGAAAGAATGTAAGATCGACGAAGATTCGTCGAAAAATCAGGTTACGGAACAGATGATTTTTAACACGGCATACGACAAAGTATTGGAACATATAAGATTGGTTAACGAAACCATTCAAAAGAATTACGAATTATTAATGAAGCTTAATATCTTGAAGGGAATGCTTATGATGGAAGAAATTAGTGTTCATTCAAAAGAGTCGACACCGTGGATTAAATACTTCTCCAAATACAAAAATATTGCTAACAATTATTAAATATTACATGTTCTTATTAGCACCTATAACTGTTTCTATATATATATATATATATCAGATCTCTATATGCATATTGCATAAGCATAAATGAGAAATGAAAATCCATTATTTCGCATAATTATTATGACAAACTTTAGGTTAATATTTGAAATTCCAATTCCGAAAGCGCCGAGAAACAAAATTAAAGAAAAATGGCAATTTTTAAGCAAAATTAGTTTTTGACAAAATCAATTTTGGGTAGAAAATTACCTTAGATACATGAAATTTTCAGTAAATGTTTATATTTTCATTTCCTATGCTTTATAAAATATTTTAAATCTTTTTAATTTTGCATTTGAAATTTTC